GTTTAAAAAACGTTAAAATCGGCCGTGTTAGACTATAAATGGCTGAGGTGAAATTTATATTACACGTAAGTTCCATCTGAAGAAGATGAAACATATTAGGGCATAAGATTATTGTTGGATGAGAGCTCGACCTGAGAGAGGACGATAGCGAAACTGTTGACAACAACACTCCATTAAAGACGAAGTTCATTGAAGACGACGATAGCGAAACTGTTGACTGAAATTCTGGCAAGCACACGATGGATGTTATCACGGATGTTATAACATCCAATGTAACACAGACTATTAGAATAATTAAAAAGCTGTAAAGAAAAGCAGGAAATCACACCAGTAATTGTTCACCTAGTTCAGTCTCAACAACTTACATCTGGGGGCTACCAAGCCAGGGAGGAAATTCACTATCAGTATAATTAATTTAGAGCCAAACAATCACAGTTTGCACTCCTCACTTAAGACCTACCCAATGACACTTCAACCTAAAGACACTCTAGACCTGAGTACACCCACTCACTCCCCCTCAATCACATCAGTGATATCCAACTACAATTACAAAAAATTATGAAGATACACTTCAACCACACACCTTGATCTTGCTTCACAGCTTTGATCAAAGGACACACACTCTTGCTTAAAAGCTTTGAGTGACTTCAATGAACACACCTGTTCATACACAATAATCACAACAATTCTATATCTTACAATTGCTTGGCACACAAGGAATCCTAAGACTCCTAGACTCACGTGAGGAACACGATTCTTCACTCACATACTTTATGATATCTCACTAGATGCTCTCTCCTCTGTGTGTCTATTAGTTGGAATGATCCTTCTGCTATTTATAATAGCATACCTGCTTTGGGCCTTGGTGCAGCAATTAGGTTTACCCAAACCTCTCTTCAAAAAGCTGCACTTACCACTTAGGTCAGGTATATTTAATTTCTCCAAGGCTTCTCAATTGTTTCCTGACTTCCGGCTTGAGCTTCTATAAAGTTTCCTGAATTCTAGCCTGAGCTTCCTCATTCTGAATACCAGAAAAACAAACTCTGCGCGCCTGATGTCATACGACCAGTGTCATGACATTCAGTATGACATCCAACTCAACTTACTACTTACCTTGCATATTGTGTGTCACATCATTAGTTATGACATCTATACACACTCTAATGTTTTACCACAAAATGCAGCCAATCAAAAGCACTTACCTTGACAACAACCCTTCATTAAAGACGAACTTCATTCATCAATTGTTTGCAGAGAAAACCCTAAGGTACGAACTTGCACAAATAAGTTACTAAAACTGTTAACTTTCTTCTTCACCCAACTTACTTAGTACTTTTGATACTACGTGTAGGTTGATTAGGTCATGGAGAGTAAGTTTAAATGGGTTGTTCACCATTCTAGTGAGTTTTTTTAAGGAGTTTGCCAACTTTACCAAGTCGGGTTATGTAGGGCTAAAGGAGATATGGGATGTTAATCATGATTATTGGAGTTACTTTGAAATATTAGACCAATTAAAAGAGTTAGGTTACCCTACTATAGATAGACTTTGGTATTATAATGACATGTTTGCTAATGATATAGTTCAGTTAGAAAATGACAAGGGAACTGATAGGATGAGAACATTTGTAGTGTTGATTGAGGAATGTCATGTGTATGTTACACAACCTGCATCTGAACCTAGTGTTATTGAGGAGCCCATACTCTCACTATCAGATGGGAACATATTGGGTGAAGATATGTTTGGTGAAGGGCCTGATATGGTTAATAATCTAAATGGGACCACCATGGTTGAAGATGTGGCTGGTGAAGTACATGAAAGAGGAAGTAATGAAGGTGGGACCACAATGGGTAAAGATGTGGTGGAAGAGGGGACAATAATTGAGGAAGTTGAGGAGAATGTTGAAATTGAGGAAAATGTGGGTCATGTGGGGACCAACTGTGAAATTAAGGAGAATGTGGGTCAACGGGAGACAAATTGTAACAATATGGATGATATGCGGGCCACCTATGGAGTTGAGGAGAATGTGGGTCTAGGGATGAATGTTGAAGTAGAGGGAAACATTGACGGACTGACCTGTAACCAACAAGAAGATGAGGTTGTTAATTATAACCAAGGAGATGTGGCAGAAAATGGAAGTGATGACAGTGCTTTGAATGTTAATTTTTATAACTCAGAGAATGATATAGGTATTGATGGAGAGATATCAATTAGTGAGGATGAAGTGAATACAACAAGTAAGGAGAATGGAAAAAGTAAGGCAAAAGGCAAGAGGAAAAGTAAGGGGAAAGGTAAAGGGAAAGTTAAAGGAAAATGGAAGAGTAATGAAAAAGAAAAGGGAAAAGGCAAGGGAAAAAGGAAGGAAACGGTCATTGTTATAAATGAAGGTGCTGATAATAATGGTGAGGTCAATCTGGACAATTTGAGAGGTTTAAGTGACACTGAGGAGTATGACAGTGATAAATTGCCTACTAAGTATGACAGTGAGAACGATGAGGTTGAAAAGGATGATTTTGTAACATTTAAGCTTCCTTCATCCATCTTCCATTTTCTTCTCCAAATTAAAGAGTCACAGAAAACCAATCATTGGATTATGAGGTAACATGGTTGATTTGTTGAGTATTAATTTCAAATGACTAATTGTTTACATAGACTAACATTAAAATGACTATTTATCTACAGGTGTGCGGGTGAATATGACTATGAGATAAGGCATACTTCACTCAATGGAGAAAAATATGTTGTCAACCTTTACAAGAAAGAATGCTCATCTAGAATATGAATGATGACTGGACTTTATTGCTGTCATGCAATGTCTTGCATGAAGGATCAACATTTAGAGATTGATGAATTTGTACCTAAATGTTACAAGAAGGAACAATATTTAGCTTGTTATGCACCTTTTATATATCCACTTAATGGGGAAGCCTTGTGGATAAAGACTGATGTTGTTGATCTTCAGCCACCACCAATAAAGAGGCAGCCTGAAAGGCCAAAGAAAAAAAGGAATAGGGAAGCTGGAGAAATAGTGAGGGATGAGACGCACATGAAGAGGGCAAGATATGGTATCAAGTGTAGTCGTTGCCACAAGGATGGTCACAATAAGGCCATTTGTAAACTACCACAACCACAAGCTCCTTCAAGTCAGGTACAATAAGCAACAACACATCCACCACCAACAGTAGTTTCAAGTCAGGTACAAGAAGCAACAACTCAACCACCACCACCAGTTGTTACAAGTCAGCTACCACCACCAGTTGTTACAAGTCAGTCACCACCACAAGTTGTTACAAGTCAAGCCACCACCACCTATTGTTACAAGTCAGCCACCATCCAAAACAAAAAAAAAAACTTCATAAGGGTGGCAAGCCTGTTTCAAGTCAACCTTGATCATTATTATGATGTCTGCTAAGATTTTGTAATGTCATTTTGTAATGCCTTTTAATGGCATATTTGTTTTGTTTTTGTAAGGCACACTTCAGAATGTCATTATGTAAGATACATTTTGTCTAATTTACAATGGCCTATCTGTTTTGTAGTTCTACCACATTTTGGAATGTCATATTAATACCTTATAATGATTGTTTGTTATTGAACCAATTATGTATCAAACTTTAAATATGTTAATGAAAGTTGAAATGACTTATAACTCCAAGTTATATTAGTGTACGTTTCCATAAAGTCCCTTAATTTTAGGCATTTTTGCAAATTGGCCTATTTTCTATTTTGATTCATCCAAATTATTGGTCCTTGAGCTGCATTTTTTACAAGTTGAATATTGAGACAAATTTGTACCAATTAGGTATCACAAAATTGTACCAGTTATGTAGCACATATAGTTATGTTGAAATAGACACACATTATTCATTAAACCAACTTAACAATATATTATTCATCACAAAAACTTAACAAAACATTAAAATACAAAAACATAACATTGAACTATCCTAAAACTAATTGAAATACATTGTTACAAACAGAAAGTTCAATCCTAAGCTTACAATCCCAACCACAACGGATATTTTCAGCCATTCTTTAGTGTAGATAACTTCATTATTCAATTTGTTAATTTTATTCTTTTGTCTTTCAAGCTTCAAATCTATTTCATCAACAAACTCATCACCTAAATACTTGAAGAAATTACAACCCTTTTCAATGTGATTTTTGTAATTTCTACAACCCCACAATTTTCTCCCCTTATTGACACTGTTCAAATCATTCACTGTTCTAAGAACACTTTCATCATGACAAAAACACTCCATTCTCTTGTTTCTTTCTTTGAATCACAAATCCAGATGTACCATAACTTTGGTTGCTTGAAGTTGAAGATTGCTTGCAATCTTTGACATTGAATCCTAATTTAGAGAAGAAAATGAAAGATGAAGATTTAATCCTAATTTGAAAAAGAAAATGGAAGAAGAGGAAATATGAAAGATGATGGACACAACAAATGAAAGATGATGGAACTCAAGAACCCTACGTAACATTTATAACCATGTGCTAAATGTTCAATTAGACATTTGCTTACTTGGCATGTCACCTCACACAATGATAACATTTTTTTGTGTGACACAAACTAAGGGACCAAATGATTTAACAAAACTTAAGTTAAAGGATAATTATGTAATGTTTTTTAGTTCGGAAACCAAAGCGAAACTTCGCTCAAATTTAAGGGACTCATGGACTAATTATACCTAATAATAATAATAATAAAAAAATGCCTTTCAAGAAAATAAATATAATAATGGACTGAAAAAAATCTTCTCGGTTTTGTAATGGGCCAAACCTATTTTTAAACGATCCAGCCCATTTCACAGGTAGCGAATATAACACCGAAACCCTAATTTTCATACTGTCTGCTTCCATCGCCCAGGTTTTGCTCTTCTCCTGATTCTTGTTATCTTCGTTTCGCCGAAAACTATACACTATATTTACTTTCTTTTTCTCTTTTTCAGGACTTAGTTCAGATTCAAATCTAGGGTTTTTTTTTCTTCGCCTATCAATGGCTCCTAAAGGTATTTCGTCGATTTCTATTTTCTTCACAATGCAATTACTTGTAAATGATAATAAGTGCCGCAAGTTTTTTGATTTAACTAATTTCTCTTCACTGTAATTATCAGTATCGTTGATTTTTGAATTTTTATTGGCGTTGAAATTTAATACTTTCATTGCTTCATATATATTTATGAAATGTAGTAGTTCATGAAATCAATTATTTCATCTTTCACGTAGTTTTTGCTTATTTTTATAAGTTAATGGCTCTTAGATTTTAGATTTATTGTTGTAATTACCACTTTTTGTTGCAGGTGATGTTTCGAAGAAGACTGATCCAAAGGCACAGGCCTTGAAAGCTGCTAAAGCAGTGAAGTCAGGAACTGCCATCAAGAAGAAGGCAAAGAAGATCAGGACAACTGTTACATTCCATAGGCCTAAGACTTTGACGAAGGAGAGGACCCCGAAGTACCCTCGCATAAGTGCTACACCTAGAAATAAGCTTGATCATTATCAGATTCTGAAGTTTCCACTCACTACTGAGTCTGCAATGAAGAAGATTGAAGACAATAACACTTTGGTTTTCATTGTTGACTTGCGCGCCGACAAAAAGAAAATCAAGGATGCCGTGAAGAAAATGTATGACATCCAGGCCAAGAAAGTTAACACCTTGATCAGGTAAGTGAGACTGTATGTAGTGATTCTTTTTGCTAATTGTCTGATAACTGATGATTGCTTTTTGCTGATTGGCTGTTATTGTACTTGTTAATTTTGTATGCAAATTACACACTATGCTGTTTTGGTTTTTTATGGCTTATTGTTGTGACAAATGATCCACTGCATTGTGCTGTGATATGATATGCTTACTATAATATGTGTAATAACCCAATGCTAAAGTAACTTGGTAATGAAACCATATTATTGAGATGATTGCTTGCACACTAAAAACAGTTGGTGTTTCTTCTAAATTTGAACTATTCTATGGCAGGCCGGATGGCACCAAGAAGGCGTATGTTAGGTTGACACCTGATTATGATGCTTTGGATGTAGCAAACAAGATTGGTATTATTTAAGGTAATGGATGGCTGTATCAAAGACAATTTTTATTTAGATTTTAGACTTATTTTGGTCATTGATGGAGATTTTGCAGCAAGTTAAATTCTGGATTTTATGTTGTTATTTCATGTATCTTAGTTCAATTGCAATTAAATTTTGTTGTTTACAATTTATAATTTGATGAGTAAAATTAATCCAAAGTTTCTTCATAGATTTGGTAGCAATTTTTTCGGTGAATAATTGAGGCCTTAATCATGGGAAAATAAGGCATCTGTAGAATGATGTGGTGTTAATAGAAATATCACTGTTGGTTGGAGCATCGAAATGGAGGATACTTTGTCCTCAATATAGAACTGGGAGAGAATGGTTTTTAAAACAGTTTAGAAATACACATTATCTGTGTTTGAGCAATAAATCACATTTAATATTTTGATTGTTAGTTATCTTTTTGTTGGTTAAATTTGTTTAAATCAAATTGAAAATCTCACTAAGTCACTTCAAAAATAGCACTAGTTCACTTTGTCATAAATCAAATTGAAAATCTCACTAAGTCACTTCAAAAATAGCACTAGTTCACTTTGTCATAAATCATTTGACAGAATTCAAATTGAAGTTTCGAATACCCCTGCCCTACGAACCAGGGTGAGGCTAAATTTATCTGTAGCCTATTTTGAATCTCTGTACAAAATTATGATATCATACTGCTTTTTTGTTTAACTGCTGAATATAATTTTGATTGGTATAAAATTATCTTTTTTTATTTATTTAATTTTCCGCTGTTATTTGGATAAATGTTTCATATAATTTAAAATATTTTATGTTATAGTTTTTTTATAGAATATAAAATAAGACGATTTTTTTACATGTATTAAAAAAAATAATTGCATTTAATCAATCATGAATGCGAACAACACTAAAAATCACTTTCATTGAGTGATATACATGGTTTCCTATCACTATATATGACAATGAGAATCATTTTCAAGTTGAAGGATCTATGCGTGTTTTATACAATAAGAAAATGAGTATTATAAAAAGTATTAAAAATTCTAGCACTTTGCCATGAAGAATACCAGCAACAATGTCCTTTGCGTTGCTTGTTTAAAAATTATAGTTGCATAATACGGTATTCTAGAATACCATTATTTTATTGTAGGAACCAATATTAAGAATGTATGAAACTCAAGTTGGTTCTATTAAAAGTGAGCCATGAAAAGATGCTCCTAACATAGTTTCTTAATCATCTTAATAGTGATTTCTTTTGGTTTATAGTGTTGGAAGCAGGAACATATTGTCCATGGTGCCTTTTGAATTTTTGTACAGTTGGAATGGCAACTCTAACTCAATGAATATAGAATGAACTCATTTTTTTCTAATCTCCCAATTTGTAGTTGTTTATAGCGAATGTGATTGGAAATGTGCATTCCTTTCAGGAGTAATGTCATCCATCCCTAAAATTTCTAACCATGTGTTAACTGACACAGAACACTCATGATTTGCAACTAGTATACGATATACACGAGATCTACATAACGGACAACTTGAATGCAATCGAAACCACTTATCAATGCATGAAACATGGAAACCATGGTTACAATTAGGAACGAGTTTTAACCATTCTCCTTCTTCAAATTCCCCCAAACAAATAGCACACTCTACATCAATTATACTCTCTTGTATCTCCTCACTTTTTGTAAATTGGCACATAGGAAGAGAGTTTATAATTGACAATTCCAATTCACTACCTTGAAATTGTGGTGAAAAGTTTTGTGGAATGGATTCATCTTGAAATTGCTCTTCATTCCAATTTATAGGGGGTGTAGTTGCATTTGAATATGAACTTGAAATTATAGTGATAGCTTTACACAATAGACATTTGAAAAATTTCCATTGCCTTAGTGTAACGAATACTAGAAAACACAATGCTAGAATCAAACAAATTTCTTCTTCATTCCAATAAGACATTATAGGTTTAAAGAAAACATGAAGGGAAGGTAGATGTAGGTTGTAGAGGCTTTTAATAATGTTTGGAGGCTTATTTATAGGAAAATAGTGTACCCCAAAGGACGTAGAAACCAATGTGGTTCCAACAAGTGCAAAAAGGTCGGAGATAATTTTAAGGATTTTTCCATTGTAGTATTAGTTACTTGATTTATAAGTCATTCATAGACTCTATCGAAGTTAAAAAAAATATATTCAGATTCTAGGTAAAAAAATGCACATTCTAGAATAATGTTAGATTTATTTGAGATACATGGAAGAATGTTTGTTTGGTTAAAAACAAAGAGAACATGACAACATCATTTCTCAATTTGGTAAAAAGTTTCTTCTAGCTAAACTTTCCGTGACATATCATTCTTGTAAGAGGTTCAATTAAAATCAAAAATATTTTTTCTTTTTATTTATAATAAAGAATGAAAATTTCTTAAAGCACATTGCATGTGTTTTTTATAATGCTTATAATTTTCGGAGATAATCTCCAGACGTATTTTATTTTAACTGAACGTTAAGATATTTCAGAGATATATTTTTAGAAACACTAAAAATCAATTGAACGTTGAAATATATTAGAGATATATTTCCAGAACAATTTGAAAGAAATATCTCCGGAGACGTATTTTCAGAAGATTTTCATAAATATATCTCCGGACAAATTCAAATGAAAATCGACTATGAGAAATATCTTTTGATCGTTTAAAATTTAAATTGTTTTAAAATTATATCTCTAAAATATTATTAAGTTATGAACGCGTTCGAAGTATTTGTGAAAAATTACATGATGGAAAAGAAATTCATAAGATGAAATAAGAAATTTTCTAACCAATTTATTTACATTACTGCATAAAAAAAATCGGATAGAAATTAGAATCCTAAGTCAACAACAAATACCTTATACTAATATAGTTCAAAACAGTTGAACTACACCTTCTCCAAAATTACTTATTTTTACCAAAATTCAAAATTATTGTATGAAAGAATGGGTAACAAAGTATATTCCATTCTTAATTTTGTAAACAATAATTGGAAAAAGAGGATTAGTTGACCTACATATTCTCCGAAATCACTATTTTTTATTGTACGGAAGAATGGGTAAGAAAGTATATTCCATTCTGAATCTTGTAACCAATAATTGAAAAAAGAAAATGGTTCAATACACTCTAAGTATTTTTTTTTTAAGTTTTAGTAAATTCATATCTTGTCAATTCAACAAAACTTTTTTTATCCGAACTTGTTACATGATGATACATTTTAGAGAAACACATTCACTTTTCACTCCGTGTTTGAAAATTAATTCTATTAGAAATCAATGTTTGAAAATTAATTCTATTAGAAATCAAAGCTTTTAATGTATGGTTGCATCGTTTTGATTACTCGTATAATCTCGTGTAGTCTTTCGTAAGAGAAGTTAACCATGTGATAAGATGTTGACAACAAGTTATGATTTTCCTCCCTCAAATATGTTAGGGCTAAAGTAACTTAACATGCTCAAATAATGAAGATGACCTATTGGTAGATTATCACAAGGAGTTGGTTTGACCTTCTTTGAAAAACTCTTAGTTTTTATCAATTCTGCGAGTGATTTAATATCAGTGGTGTTTGGATATGCTATCTTGCACATATGTTCTTTCATGTGCAGATTCATGTTATAATCAACTTAAAAAAATATCTTGAATCATCTTCCATAATGTCAATATTGAATTATCATATTTACCATCATAAATTATACATCATCATCAAATCAAAGTCTTTTCTAGCACATGTTTACCTATCCAAACATATAAGTCTACTGAGTTTCATCTTCTTGCCTATTGAACAAGCACAAGGAAAACTATATAATCTAATAAGTGCACAACCACACTTGGATCTATTTGAATCTGTTTCAGGCTGACCATATCCATTTTGATCCGGCCACACTTCCAGAGATTCAACTACCATGGGAAGATAACTTCCAAGACTGCTCTAAGCTAGTCATACCCCTCAGTCCGACCACCACGGGACGTGACGTTCATGATTCAAATCAACTATCTACCAGGCTTCTTGGATATTCTTTTGACCATTGTAACTTCAGTGATCTCGAAGCAGGAGATTAATACCTCCAACGCATCCAACGGTCCTCTACATTCCACGTTGGAAAAGTAGTAAAACAATTATTTCTCTTCCCCATATTTAGGGGAAGGCGCCATTTCAAGTAACAAGTTTAAAACACAATTTGAATACTTTCTCAATTTGAATACTTTCTCATCATTCACATACTCTTTCAATATTCCTTAGAAGACTTGTTGAAAGCATACATGCTAGAACAAGAATGTGCTTGGGATAAATTTTTACCATTGATCGAGTTTACCTACCATAACAATTTCCATTCGAGCATTGGAATGACATCGTTTGAGGCGTTGTACGGTAAAAGGTATGGGACACCTTTATGAAGGTGTGAAAAGTACACAAGAAGTGGGGGTTGAATTGTGTTTCACGTTCTATTTTAATTTAGCTTCTGATCAGAGTTTCAGAATCAGAACTGATGTTCAGATTCCGAATTAATTCATTTGGCAGCGGATACAACAGAAGTAAATAAAATAACAGTAGAAGACACAAAAGATTTATATTGGTTTCTCCCCTAACTGAGAGTAGTCTAGTCCCCCTGCCTTACAAGAGATTTTTATGATAATCACTTCATGATTACAATCGCTTATGCTTCTGCAATAGACTTTTACAACTGCTCAGACCAACTGCCTGAGACTTCCCTTGTTTAGAGCACATGTCTAAGACTTAAACTTTGCTTACACCATTTGACTGAACCACCTACTCTTCTATCTTCTGGTTGATACTTCCCTTTGCTTAGAGCACATGTCTAAGACTTCCCTTTGCTCACATCCTCTGGCTGAGCCACCTCCTCTTCTGGCCATCCAGACTGAGAATTCCCTTGTTCAAGCCACACTCGAGACTTCTTACTCACGCCCTCAGACGGAGACTTCCCTTTGCTCAATTAGACTAGCTGAATAAGACTTTCACAACTCAA